CAGCCGGTCCACAGCGATGACAGCGCGGGAGCCCTTCTGGATGAAGCCGCGTCGGATTGGGAAGAGGACCCTGCGTCGTTCCAAGATCTCTTTGGGGAACTGGTCGTTCACGCTGAAGTCCGTTCCTCTTAATTCCCTGCCGCGGCTTTTCACATGTTGCTTTTGTTTGAAGTGGCCGAATTTGGCCACGATAGGACGTGGTCTCCCGGCCGTAGCCCGAATGGGGCCGAGGCGATGTACCCGATCGAAGACGATGTTCTTCACAGTGTCCTCCGGCAGCTTCAGGTGGGTTTTGATGAAGCTTTTTACCGTGGTCTCCGCGTCCTCTCCAGCGGCTTCTGGAATACCAGAAAATACCAGATTATCACGCATGCTACGAGCTTGTAGATCGATAACTGTTTCTTTTATTTTTTTATTTTCTCTATTGAGCTGGGTAACATTATCTGTGAGACATTTCACCGACTCCCTTAGCGTGGCATTTTCAGCAGCAAGCGTTTCCACCTGCTGCTGGCTGTACTCCAGGGATTCTCGCAAGCATTTAAATTCTCGGTGAAGAATCTCCACCAAGGACAGCCTTGCGTCGAAACTGGACAATCGCTTGTCAATTGACTCCAGTATGTCAGCAATATCTTTGCCGGCTGGCGATGCTGAGCCAGGGGAATCTGCCGGGCGTTGCCTTTTCGACGACGGCGTCTCAGGTTTGGCCGTGGAAGCTGCACACTGGGTCTTCTTCATCACGAGATCCTGAAAGCACTGATCAATATAATCTTGGAGAGTCTCTAAACTCTCCTCGTTGTTCTCCAGGGTGTTGGAGATTATTTAGACAAATAGTGTTAGTTATAAGACAATTGATAAGTGTATTTGGTAATGCTGAAGCTTAAATGAATTTGTTCAAATCTAAACTACCATTTGCTTTAATTTTCCGAAACCTCACCCGAAACCTTGGCTGATGGTGACGTACACCCGTTTTCACACCTTGGCTCACGTGATTAGGTAGAGGATCATTGGGGGGGATACCCCACAGGGTTTAAACCTGGGACATTTGACCCTAGAACTGAAGAAGCTTCTCGGATGTGGAGTGAAACGTCTTTAGGCAACTTAAAAAAGTCCAGACGCTTTTCTTTCCAAGCTCCTTAGACTATATATTTCTTGCTTGCTTGAAAAGGATTTAGGAAAGTACATTTGTGAACCATGATGTCACAGTGTTCATTCCTACCATTACAGCTGCAGCCTCCTCTTCATGTAGAGCTGCATTTCTCTATTGTCTTCTCTCTAAAGCTCTCCTCTTCCTGGATCTGAAGCCTCCTGCTTTGGGCTCTCTGGAGCTGCTGTTCATATTATATATCATATCATATATATATCATATTGATATGAATATAAAAGAGAACATGAATGAGAGTTCATGTTCTGCTTCTTGCATGTGTGTTTTTTCTCATTCACTCATTCACTTGAGATTCCTATCAACTCACAACTGACACAATTGACACACAGTAAACAGAAAACTCAAACTGTCTGACAACAACAGGAAGTTGACACATGTGGAGTGATCCTGTGCATCAAGAGAGATTTCACTGGCATCAGCTGCTGTATAGAGATGGTCTGGCCATTGTTACTGGAAGGTCGCTTGGGAAGGAGATGTTAATATCTCAGTGAGTTACAGGGGAATCAAAAGGAAAGGACACAGCAATGTCTGTCTGTTTGGTCCTGGAGTCTCAGCTGCTTTGCTGGTAGTCCTCGTTCTGTCTGGCACAATAACAGACAAATGTGCATCTCGTCGCCCTCCTCCTCTGTCTCTAAGAGAGTAGAAAGCTCAAATTCAGATTCAAGGTCAGCTTCTGGGAATAGTCATGACATGGTAGATTTGTCAAGCGTGGCAGAAGGTGGGACAAAATTCAGGGCAGTAGACTCAGTGCTAACCTGGGCCCTGTCAAAGAAATAAATGTTGTTAATTCATTCCTGATCCTTAAGTAAAAGACAGTCACACTCATACTCTATACGTATTGAGTCAACAAACTTTAGAAATCCACCTCATCCAGCATTTCAGTAAACATTTGTTTGTCTTTTTGTTTTTTCAAAAAAGTATTCATATTATAATTCAAACAATTACAAAGGTATCAGATTAAACCCCTGCGAGGTAACAAACACATTTATCATTATTGTATTTTTAAAATGTTGTGATAATGGGGGTAAAATAAAACCGAGTAGCACAACATAACTGAATGGACATGTTACTTTTACTTGTAGATTATGACATATATGTAACAAACGAAGTCTCAGGACCACCTACAAGGTTGTTTAATAATATTCTTTTGTTGTTTTGCACCTTACAGCATGTTTGTAATCCTGGTTTTATATGTATGATAACATGGTTGCAGATCAGTTGCAGATCAGTATTACTGTTTTCTCAGAAGCAGACACCAGCTGTGGAGTATCATTTACTGTGAAAGTCAAGGATAAGTGTAGTTGTCTGAATAAAGGAAGGAAACGCTGAAAATAATTTGTCCTCTTCTGTTAATCTGAACTAATTTAGATGTCTGCTTGAACTGTGGAGCGGCAGATAAGGATGTGGTACACAGGCTTTTTCTAACATTTTATTGGACTTTGTATTAAAGGAAAATGAACAAATGTACAGTGTTGGTGAATAAATAAAATTCCATATAGTTCTTCAAACGTCACCACAGACAAGTTAAAATCGAGTTCTCATTACATCATTCAAGTAAAAATAAATATCAGGATGAACCCTGGCGCTTTACACAACCAGTCATCCACCCATTCACACACATTGGTGATGGCAAGCTACAGCCACCCCAGGGCGCACTGACAGAGGCGAGGCTGCCGGACACTGGCACCACCAGTAGGCAACAGGTGAAGTGTCTTGCCCAAGGACATAACGGCCGAGACTGTCCAAGCCGGGACTCGAACCGGCAACCTTCCAATTACAAGGCGAACTTCCAACTCTCAGAAAATACTCCAAAACTAAAAGCATTTGTCAAAGAGGACTGACCTTTTGTATATTCATGAAGTTAGCAATAACAGTCACAGTTTTCTTTCTTTGTTTTGACAAAGTATTTTTCAGAAGCAGGGTAACACATAGGCTGTGGGAACAATAATTATGAACTTGCAGTGCATAATTACTATTTTGCATTTAAAATAATATTTTGTAATCACTTTTTTAACAACCAGGTTTGTATTTTGTCTCATGATAGGTGTCATTTACATGATAAACATATATTTAAATAATCTGTGCATGGATTTATTTCAAGTTCCTGGGTGGGTCAGAAACTGTCCTTAATTGTAATCCACATGTTTTTTCTGTCTTTTTCCACTCAAAGCTTCACAGTGAGCATCAGTATGTTGTGTTTCTCTGATTCTGAGCTCAGCTGAGATGATTGAGTTCATGTCAGCTGCAGATGAGACAAACTGTGATATCAGAGAGGAATCACTGCGTGACTCAAAAGATGAATTTACAAACTGCTCAGCTCTTGGTGAGCAGCCAGGGTTCATCCTGATATTTATTTTTACTTGAATGATATAAGGAGAACTCGATTTTAACTTGTCTGTGGTGACGTTTGAAGAATTAAATGATCCTTTAAAAACTATATGGAATTTTATTTATTCACCAACATTGTACATTTGTTCATTTTCCTTTAATACAAAGTCCAATAAAATGTTACAAAAAGCCTGTGTACCACATCCTTATCTGCCACTCCACAGTTCAAGCAGACATCTAAATTAGTCCAGATAAAAGTGAAATTCATTTGACTTATGACAGGCAGTGATGAACAGCCTTCAAACAGACTGATCAGTTTTATAATCTTTATTTTATCAGGTATGTCAAGCAGATTAAGATCAAACATAAAAACATATACGTTATGCATCACAAGCTGAATGCAGGTAAATTCATGTGACTTTTGTTTAGCTGTAACTTTATTGCACTGCTTCCTTCTGTGTTAGATAAGGCTCAACAGGTTGAATTTATAAAATGTATTCCTTCAGCAGAGTATTAAAAGAAAAGTGTATCTCTGCTGTAAGGCACATTCACACTGCATTCATATGACTAAATGTGAATGTGACAAGTTTCAGTGAGTAATGTAGAGACAGAGTCTGACTAAAGGGACATTACAGTGAGACTCTCCCGTTTGATCAGCGGAGACAGTCTCTCTCTGCTGCGAGTATATTTCACTTTAACTGTCACACAAAATGATTCAGCGTCTGTAAACCCTCCAACAAACATTTATATGCTTAAAAACATTAATACTCCTAAACACAGAAATTGATCATAAACTAATCCGTTACTTATGTTCCCGAGCCCCAGCGTTCCCACAAACCCCTCCTGCCCTTGCTGTTTCCCTTTTTTTTTTTTCTTTTCTTTTTTTTTTTTTTTTTACTTTCTTTTCCTTTTCCTGAACTTGGCGTCGCAGCTGATCGTCTCGGTATGAATGGAAGGTAAGTGAAACTGCATACTTCACGGTAACGGACTCACAGCTGGACCAACGAGGTGTGTCACACACTATTTTCTGCTAGTGTGTGAGATCAGAGTCCGGGAATGAGAGCAGCAGCAAAGTTAAGGCCCTTTCACACTGGAAGCGGCATGCGCGTCAAACTTCGCTGGCCGCCGCGCTCTGCTTGTACGTATTTATTTATTTTTTCTTCTTCGTGTACCAGATGGGCCTGCTCCTTGTCATTTCGAGACTTTCACCTCACTGACTTTGTATCCTCTACGAGAATTTGTGCTTTATGTATTATGTTCAAGTGTTTAATAAGAAAAATGTATCGCTCATTCATGAAGAAGAAAGCTTTGTAACTATCCCGACCAGTGAAGAGTGTGTCGTTTCCACAACACGGGTTTCCCCGCCGAGGTCCGCAGAGCCATTGAAAAGGCTCTGGAGGTCCGTTGAATCTGTGACAAAAAGTTCACCGGACTCGGACAGAATGTTTTCCTTCATCGTGAGGTTCAACTTAGCGCAGCAGTTTTTACTGGTCGCGCGAAGGTACGTCCGCGCAGCGGGAAACCGTTATTGCGTGGCGCAAAGAATAGACACGAATGAGTGCCGCGTCCTATGTGAAAGGTCTTTTAGTTGATGGTCAGCAACTGGACTCAGAATCATTGTTACTGTGGATCCACTTACTGATGACTGAAGGCAACTTCTTCTGCCTCCACTAGTCTATGGAGGAAGCGGAGAGGAGCCGCTGCCCTCCCGTTCACTGACACGCTAAATCTGGCCTGAGCTGCACCGGAAAGCCGCTGGAGAAACTCAGAGCTCCGGGTCTTTATAATCACTCTGTGGGATTTTCACGCATACGGTAGGGAGGAAAACGTAAAGCGACGATAGAGGGTGAGAGTGGACGGTGTGATTTTTATTATTAAATATAGATAAGGCATAAATTCAAAACAGAATAAAAAATGAATAAAAATACTGCGTCACAAACTTTTGGCTCTGTTCCAACAGAAAGCGGACTATTTTTCATTGTTTACACCCACAGGAGTGGTGTTACTCAGAGACTAACTGGATTAAACACATCACGCTTTAAAACTTTATTATTAAACTTTATTAAATTTAAACATAATCATTTAAAGGTGATTACATATCAGTCACATTTGTTACTGACTGTCCCCGCTGAGCCTGAAACAGCTGTCTGTGACTCATGTCCTTAATCTGCAAGATTGTGCTTAAAGACATTGAAGCTCCAGTTAGACACAGTTTATACCACACAGACTGTCTTCAACATGAGTGCTGATATCATCAGTCTGTCATCAATCCAGATAGCGAACATTCATTGAAATAATGTTAAATCAATATCAGGCAATTCCCTTGAATCGACACTGAAATCTGACATTGATTTTACATCATTTTTCAGCCTTGGTTAATACTGAAACAACAATAAAATCATGATTGAAAATCGACAGGACTTCAACCAACTAAACCACTGCAAATTATCATCAATACTTAAACATGTGAAAAAGACAACTGTGTATTATCTAAAAAAAGATAACCATCATCTGTTAAGTTACAATTTAAGATGTCAAAAATCAACATCAATTCAATATCTTCTTGCTATCTAGGGAGTCTGTGGACATCAGGGCAGCTTTTTCCCAATATGACTGATTCTAAACATCACTGAAAATATTTTTGAGGAGTTGTTGAGCCTCTACAGAGAGTCTAGATGTGCTCTGACAGCATTTTACACTAAAGTATTCAAAACTCTTAAATACAGATAAAATGTTGCTGAACCATTAAATTAAAATAAGATCTCTCAATGTAAACACAAACTACATCTATAGGCAAACAGAACAAAAGATCACATGAAGAATGTTTATTAATCAGTGAATAATTATTGGCTAGAAATGAAAATGATAAACAGAGTCCATTTCATGGATCTTTCTCAGAAATTTACTAAAACAAAGTGTGTTTATAAAAATGATGTTAGACTTCTCTGTGGTAACAACGGTTGAATGCTCTAATTCTGAAGCTGTGAGCTGAAATATTGTGTGTTAAATAATCAGCTGTAATTTGTTCGTTCCATTGGTTGATTTTCTGCAGGCACACTGCAGACTGGGAAGCACCAGTCCTTCTTAGTCCTTCTCCTAACAACATATAAGAGTCCAACTGGACCACATCCACGTACTGAAGCTTGTTCTATGACACAGGATTTGATCTTATCCATATAATGTCAGGGTTAGGGTTAACCCTGGGGTTTCACTTCTTACAGGGGTATATTCCCAATTGTAACTCATCAACTAATTAATCCTGAAACTTATGGAGACAAAACATTACTGGATGGAAGATGCTTCTTATTAACTGTAAATCAATATGTGTGTGTACACTTCTCTGCGTAAGAATAATTATTGTGAACCTTTCATGGATGCGCTGAAATATTTGAAAATGTTGTTCAGACGTGTTGAACTGACTGAATATTAATGGGCTTAAGCAGGGCCGGCTATACACTGGGGTAAGAGGGGTCAATGCCCCCTTATACAAACGTCCTGCCCCCTTAAATCAAAATGTAGAAATTGAGAAAGAAAATAATAGATTGCCCACAAACTGAATATGGGCAAGATTTACTCCAGTAGCTTAATAATCCACTGGAAAAGGCACAAATGAGATGATAGGTAACCCTAACCCTGTTTGGCCTGTTTGGTCTCTTCATTGTAGAGGTCTGGGCATTCCTCGCTACACTGTACAGCATACACTACACATTGTTAAGTTTGTGTTTAGGAGTTTTGTCTTTTGGATGAACCAGTTTTTGTGTGAGTGTGTTGCTGGGTCTTATTTAATTTTGCACATTTATTTGAATTAGGCCATCCAATTAAGTTCGATCTTATGTTGTTGATTGTAAAGATCTGGATGGATATTTTAGTTTATTCTCTATTTGTATTTTTCAGTGTTATTTTCCAAGACTTTGCAAATTCTCCTTTTCTTTTTATAACTGGGCCTACCATTTTTAGTTTTGTTCATATTGGCAATAGTGAGAAGTTTTATTGTTGGTATGAATATATTTGATATAGGCTATCCAATTAAGGTAAATGCCGTGTTTTTAGTTGTTAGAATCTGATGAAGAATATTTTATTTTATTTTTTGGCGTTTTCGCTTTTCTGTTTTCCCCCTGAGGGATTCCCACCTTAACGTGGTCAGGGGGTTTGCGTGCCTTAGTGACCATAAAAGCTAGACCCGCAGAAGCTTAGCCTTCAGGTGGGACACCCAAGTTGGTCTGGTCTTAGGGTAGAGGCCTGACAAATTGCAATCCAATTACATGACAGAAACAGTTATCCTGAGTAGGGCTGCCACGATTAGTCTACTAGTCACGATTACGTCGACGACTAATTTGAGTTTGGTGCGTCGTTTGAAGCTAAGATCCTGAAAGACACAGGAATAGGTAGTAGGATTTAAGAGTGTGAAACAGAAGATGTCAGCAATGCATGTACAAGGATGCCAGCTGCTGTTAAACGCCAAAGAAGAAGAAGCAGCCTCCAGTATCGTGGCTGTGTCCAAATGTAGCCACATCCTTCGGAGGCTGCATTTGAAGGTCAATTACATTACAGCGACGTGACAAAGGCTGGCCAAATTCAAAGACTCCGACAAATGCGGCCGACAAATGCATCCTCCTTTTCCTCAGATTTGAAGGATGGGTCTGGTGTATCCTTCGTGGCCCAACCTATCCCAGAATTCACAGTGCGGCTCAGCCAATTCCAGTTTCCTGCAATGGCGGCAGCTACTTAGTTTTAATATTACTCTTATTACTCTTTCTGGGTCACAAAATAGTTTTCAGATATTTTAGGAGAGAATGTAGCAGCAGATCACTTCAAATATCTGCTCGGTTTATCAAGACATCACATATTTGCAAAAGTGCTCCGATGTTTTCGGAGACGCCTGTTTCCCACCAGCTTGATAGCTGACCAGGGGTTCGAAGCTCTCTAGAGCCAGCTTGAACAGCAAACTCCAGGCACATTGTTTTCAAACCCCCCGTGGTCTTTCGCTCCTCGGGTTAAACATGATATATAAGTCAATTAGATAACTTAAAAATTTTATTGTTTGGCTTTTTTCAGTGTTTTATTTGTTCCTGAGTAAATCGGTTTGCCTGAGATTAAAGTTATAGTTTTCACACAGCTGAATAAACGTCAAACAGAAAACTGATTAAACAGAAGGGAGAGATGGTTGAGAATTTACTCCAATGTCCTGTATATTTTAGATAGCAAGGAGCAGACGGCTGAGTCTGCAAATTTCATTAAAAGTTTAATAAACTATCATCTTAATTTTAGTTAGCACATACCTTAAACACTAAGCTAATGATAGTTATATAAGAGCTTATTCCACCAGCATGTTGGTGGAATAAGCTGTACGTTTTATGTCCAATGGATGTATAATCTTATTAGTCGACTAATCGCAAAAATAACCAGTGACCATTCGACTATCAAAATAATTGTTTGTGGTAGCCCTAATCCAGACCAGATCAGCCCACCCAACCCCCACACCTTTCTCGCCTCCATTGCCACTAGGTGCCCCTTTATTTCTGTCTGCCCCCTCATATATGCCTGTCTAGAACCGGCCCAGGGTTGAAGCTTCCAGTCACAGTGTGTGTCAGTGAATGCATTATTTAGGGAGTAACAGAATACATGTTACGTATTTAAAATACAAAATATGAGTAACTGTATTCTGTTACAGTTAAAAGGGGGATATTCAGAATATTTGTTGAGATAAATGGATTACATGGCAGTCTTTTCCTGTTTTATATGTTAGGCTATGCCCTCTCAATTTTTGTTAATTTCACACCTGTGGAAAACCCTAAGAAAACACGCAATAAGAGGCTCTAATGCCTGTGTCTCAGTCTTGCGGCCCATGTCACCTCTACTTGCGGCTCGTATAAATGACGTGAAGAAAATTCTTTTCAAAATTATTATTCAAAAAATTATTTAATATAAAGGCAATAGGCAGAGTGTTACAGGCATAGCCATAAAGAATGTAGACTCATGAGCAGTGTAGTCCGTGCTGCAGGGAGAATGGACTGCCATACCATTATGTGTCTGTGAGCACGAGGAGGGAGAAAAAAGAGAGTCAAAAGTATGAGTTGTCACAGACCAGAAACGGGAGATGGAAGCATGTAATATAAGAAATATATATAATAATATATATAGTAAATATAATAATAACCACTGCAGCCAAAAAGAGTGCCCGACGAGCCCAGTTGTAAATAAGTTATTAAGACTCGACTGTACACTGTGTTCGTGTTTTCCTCTGAAACAATAAGTTCCGTTGGAGCAGCCTTTCAACGCCTCTCTCTGTCTCTCGCTAGCAAAGTTGACCCAGACAACAAAGTAAAGCTAGTTTTCGGCTACGAGCCCGACACAGAACCCGACGTATTAGCCAGAGGTCCCTTTACTATGGTTCGGAGCCGCGGATCTGTTTGATATATGAGCAGAATAGTTTTCTATATGAGATCGCTGCAAAAAGTGCAGCCTTACCTAATGTCCACCCTACTGTTACTCATTTTATATTAAGATTTAAAAATCTAGTTGCTATTGGTATCTCGAGTAACGTTCAGTAATAGTAATAAATCACACAGCAATAGTACATTCATGCAGTTGTAAAAAGCATGACAATATATTAAGTAATCCAAAGTATTCAGAATACGTTACTCTCATTGAGTAACGTAACGGAATACGTTACAAAATACAGGTTGGGTTATGTATTCTGTAATCTGTAGTGGAATACATTTTAAAAGTTACCTTCCCAACCGTGATCATGTGTGCTTCATGGCTCCATCTATTGAACTGATGGTAGAAGTAGAGCAGCTGATGGCAGCTTCCTCTGCCTCACACTGCTGTCTGACTGCATTCTGCTGACACTGAGATGAAGCAGAAAAGAAGCAGCTGGTATTTGGACACACATGATGGAAAGGAGGATTTCAGTTGATGTGCACATGAATGATTTGTGTTTCCTCTGTAGGTGAAGGTAGAAACTGTGTGTGAGCTGATGTGGATGTGAATTCAGCAGCATGTATCAGTGTGAGGACAGAGAGGAGGGAGTCCCTCCCTCTAAAACCACTCTGTGTGGGGAACATGAGAGCCAGACCACAGCTCAGAGGTGAGATGACCATCTCTAACTGTCCATGACTCTTCTCCATGTCACAGCTCAGCACTCACATCACTGCTCCATCATTATTCATTATTCACACTCATACTTATGTGTATGTTGTTTTAAAGCCCAGAGGTGCACGGTGTACCAGGGTCTGCTGGACCTAAGCCTAAAACTAATCCAGAACCTGGACCTGAACCCAGCTGTGTTTCCTTAAAGAGTGACCTGTCGAAGGATATTGGTGCTGACTTTAAAAAAGAACTTTTATGTGACAAAGAGTAAGTAGTTTACTTTTTTCTGGTTGTTTATGTTTTGGGGGATTAAGTATTCTCATTTTAATTTTTTTTGTTTTACATCTTTTTTTCTGATTTGAGTAATTTTGTTCATCATGTAAGTAATTTAATATTTCCAGTTTTTCCATCTGTCTCATGAAACTTTTACATTTATTGTTTTACTTCTAGGATCAGTAAGAAGCCAGAATCTCCTGGGCCTGAACCCAGCTGTGCGTCTTTAAAGAGCCATCAGTCAAAAGATATTGGTGAAAAATTTAAAGGATGTCCTTCTCCTGCCAAGAGGTAATGTGTATCTAAATGTCATTGTGAATAAATGTGAATAAATCCTCCATCATGTTTAATATCAGTTCAGCTCTTTTTCACACACATTTCTATGTTCATGTGTGAAGTGGTGTGTGTTGGAATGTTTCCACAAAGACAGCAGTCAGAGTGTAAAGAATGGATGTTGTAGAAGGGGTTTCTGTAGTGAAGAGGCTGAGTGTCTGTAGGACTCCAGATGCACGTGTCTCCTTTGTGCTTTGCATCAAACACAGTGTAGGTGGGAACTTCCATTCAGGTGTTTCAGGTGTTGCCGGATGGACAAATATTTTTTTCTCCTCTTCAATGACACTTCAGCAGTGCTCAATCTTCTGGGGAGATGTTTGTCTTTATGAAGGTTTATGGATTATAATTCTTTCTTACTTTGGTGAAACTAAGCAATAAACTTTCCACCTAACTTTTCAAATAAATTTCCAGCTGGCAGAGAAAAAAAGATATGAAGCTATAGTGATGCTTAACAGCCTGAGCGATAGTAAAAATTCAAACAGAATTCAAACATAGGCTTAATCTCCATACGTATTTGATATAGTGCCAACGAATACAAATAGGTGTTCTTACATGTCTTAATCATAGAGCTCTGATAGTGATAAGCTATCACAGCATCATCACAGCCACTTTGCACCAGGAAGTAACTACATAGGGAAACTGTACTACAAAGAAGACAGCAAGGGAAAACTCAGGGCAGTCTCGTGCTATTGCAATGTAACTAAGGGAAGATTCAGGGTCACCGGATCCAGCCCTAACTATATGCTTTATCAAAAAGGAAAGTTTTGAGCCTAATCTTAAAAGGAAGAGAGAATGTCTGTCTCCCGAATCCAAACTGGAAGCTGGTTCCACAGAAGAGGGGCCTGAAAGCTGAAGGCTCTCCCTCCCATTCTACTTTTAAATACTCTAGGAACAACAAGTAAGCCAACAGTCTGAGAGTGAAGTGCTCTAATAGGGTCATATGGTACTACAAGGTCATTAAGATAAGATGGGGCCTGATTATTTAAGACGTTGTATGTGAGGAGCAGGATTTTAAATTTGATTCTTTCTTTAACAGGGAGCCAATGAAGGGAAGGCAATAGAGAAGAAATATGCTGTCTTTCTAATCAATACTCTTGCTGCAGCATTTTGGATCAACCGTAGGCTTTTCAGGGAGTTTTTAGGATATCCTGATGATAATTACAGAAGTCCAGCCCAGAAGCAATAAATGTATGAACTAGTTTTTCAGGACAAGACACTGGACCATGTGTATAGTAACATCAAGCAGGCCTACAAAGCGACACCCCTCCCCCACCTAGGACCATCTGATCACCTCTATCTGCTCCTCGTCCCTGCTTACACCTGCCTAAAGAAACGGACTCCTTCAAGCATCTGGGTCATTAAAACATTGCCAGATGATGCTCTCCACCATCTACAGGACTGTTTTAATCTCACAGACTGGTCCATCTTCAAATAGCAGGTGTTGTGTAATTGTTAAGTGCTGTGTAATGAATGTGACAGTGACCAAAACCATCTGGGTTCTTCCTAACTGGAAACCTTGGATGAAGAGTAAAGTACAGGCTCTGATCAGACCAATTCTCTGTACAGCACTACCACAGCCAACCTGAGGAGAAGCATCAAACAAGCCAAGAAGACCTACAGGAGAAGGACAGAGAGCTTCTATGGACAGCCCTCAGAAACTATGAAGACCAGACGAGAAGTCGATTTTAATTTTGCTACAATAAAACTGTCATGGTCCGAGTGAGTGCTGGGTTTTCCAGCGTGCCAGTGAATCCACCATTGGGGAGAGTCGCCACACCCCCTCTCGCTTTGTGCACCTGTGAGTAATCAGCCGACAGGCTTTTAAGACCAGCACTCACAAACACTAGTGGAGTGTGATACTGCATATTTTGGATCCGATACCAAGTAAATACGGGCCAGTATTGCCGATACGGATACGGATACTTTTCAGTAAATAAGGTGGATGCGTCATTGAATTGCTAAATCTCAATTAATTTTCATGACCTTAAGTGTTTTTTTTGTAATGTTTACTTTTTTATTATTAAATAGTTAAAACACAGGACATAATCAGGACAAAGTTCATAATTAAATAGAAAATGCTTTATTATAATTTTTTTTTAGAAAAATCTTAATTAAAAAGTGCATGCAAACCAGTAAACAAAGCAAAACAAGCAAGTACTGTTGAGAAACTATAATACAAAAATTACAATTAAAATTCTCAGAAACAACAACAACAACTGGTGAAAATATAAATAATATGTAAACAACTTAACAACCCCCAAAGCCTTTAGTTAGTCTGTGCAGAACAAAGGTTTTGGCTACAGGTTTTTGTTCAAGAACAGTATCATATTAACATTTTTTGCTTGTAATGCACTTTGTCTGTTACTCGCTAACTGCCCTGCTTTTGAAAAAATCCTCTCAGCTGGCACTGATGTTGCAACCATTGCCAGGTATTTTTTGGCAAGTTTGCTCAAAGATGGGAATGTTTGTTCATTGTTTTTCCACCAAAGTAGTGGATCCTATGCCCAAGGAACTGGCCTTTCCTCAGAGTACCTGCACATCTCAATTAGGGCATCAGTACCAATTGTCCGATGCTGCTGAGATGCTAGGACTTTAGGGTGAAATTATTCCCATATCCCACCTTTTGCTGCAGGTGGGGATGAAGCAGCCCCTCCAGACGAGCTTGAGGTTGTTTCAGGAGTTGGGGCAGAGCAGATGGGACAGATTTTTTTTATATATGTTTATATAAAATGGTAGTGTTTCCACTATACCTGGCAAGCTTTTTATAAATCCCACATTTTGCAGTTGTCTCATTTTCGACTTGAAAATGCAGCCACATTGCGCTCCTCTTCCTCTCTGCCGTTCTTCTGTTGTATTTTCTCTGTGCTGATGAACCTGAGCTGGCAAGTTGCTTGTTTGTTTGCTTTGTGCATCTAAGTCACGTAATGGTGCAAAATCTAAACACAAGAGGGGGGAGGGGGAGCAAAGTGTGCCTGCTCTGCGCTGACACAGGAGCGGCTAATCCGGTGACCTGGCTGTTTCGTCTTTGCTGAAACCACAGCACTGCAAACAAGAGCGGAACTTAAAGTAAATAATCGATCTCACCAGGCTAGTATCGATCCAATACCAATTTAGTATCGATACAACTGATATTTCAATCAATCCGCCCACCAACAAACACTTCTCGCCAGAACGTTAGCTAGCCCTTGTTAGTGAAAGCCACAGTTAAGTAGTTCTCCTCATAGCAGTTTTTGGAACTAATCTTGTCTTTCTACTCGCTGCAGTCTCACGGATGTCTGGATCACGCCGTCATTTTTCCTTCCCTTCACACAGCCACTGGCCTGCGTGCTGTTTTCGGGGTTTACTAACCTGACTACCTCCTTGCCCGGTTTTCCAGTGAGTGAATCTTGACTGGTTTAGCCTTGCCTGGATTTTACTACCCCTAAGCCTCGCCTCCGCCTGCAAAAGTACGATAATTGCAAATTGCCCTTTCTCCCTGGACTGTTGCTTGGGGCTCACTTTAACTTTGCTCTCCCTTATTACAGTGACTCTGTGAGCGTAACTCCATAATCCTCCTTCTGCCCCGCAGCTCACGGCGCCAGTTCTAGAAAATGCCCGATGTCGGGTTCCCTGGCTGCTTCCCCAGCCTGCTAAAGAGACCTTTTCCTTTTGGACTCTGCTAAAGCACTCGTTTCATCCTTTCATGTTTTATGACAGTTGCTCTAGTATAGTTTAGTGCTTCGTAGTTCTGCTTTTGTTCATAGTCTCCCATAGTAATATTCTGATTTTGTATTTATTCAGTTCAATTCAATTTTATTTATATAGCGCCAAATCACAACAAAAGTCGCCTCAAGGCGCTTTATATTGTACAGTATACCCTATAATGATAGATACAGAGAAAAACCCAACAATCATATGACCCCATATGAGCAAGCAATTTGGGGACAGTGGGAAGAAAAAACTCCCTTTTACCCAGGAAGAAACCTCCTGCAGAACCAGGCTCAGGGAGGGGCGGCCATCTGCTGTGACCGGTTGGGGTGAGAGAAGGAAAACAGGATAAAGACATGCTGTGGAAGAGAGACAGAGGTTAATAACAGATATGATTCAATGCAGAGAGGTCTATTAACACATACTGAGTGAGAAAGGTGACTGGAAAGGAAAAACTCAATGCATCATGGGAATCCCCGGCACTCTACGTCTATTGCAGCATAACTAAGGGAGGATTCAGGGTTACCTGGTCCAGCCCTAACTATATGTTTTAGCAAAAGGGAAAGTTTTAAGCCTAATCTTAAAAGGAAGAGATAGTGTCTGTCTCCCGAATCCAAACTGGAAGCTGGTTCCACAGAAGAGGGGCCTGAAAACTGAAGGCTCTGCCTCCCATTCTACTTTTAAATACTCTAGGAACAACAAGTAGGCCTACAGTGCGAGAGCGAAGTGCTCTAATAGGGTGATATGGTACTACAAGGTCATTAAGATAAGATGGGGCCTGATTATTTAAGACCTTGTATGTGAGGAGCAGGATTTTGAATTCAATTCTGGATTTAACAGGAAGCCAATGAAGGGAAGCCAAAACAGGAGAAATATGCTCTCTCTTTCTAGTCCCTGTCAGTACTCTTGCTGCAGCATTTTGGATTAGCTGAAGGCTTTTCAGCGAGTTTTTAGGACATCCTGATAGTAATGAATTACAGTAGTCCAGCCTGGAAGTAATAAATGCATGAACTAGTTTTTCAGCGTCACTCTGAGACAGGATATTTCTAATTTTAGAGATGTTGTGCAAATGGAAGAAAGCAGCCTTACATATTTGTTTAATATGTGCATTGAAGGACATGTCTTGGTCAAAAATAACTCCAATGTTCCTCACAGTGTTACTGGGGGCCAAGGTAATGCCATCCAGAGTAAGAATCTGGTTAGATACCATATTTCTAAGATTTTCAGGGCCGAGTAAAATAATCTCAGTTTTATCTGAATTAAGAAGCAGA